AGCCGGGGCTCGAACCGGCAACCTTCCTATTACAAGACGAACTCCCAACTCTTGAGCCACAGGTTGGTGATGACATCAGCAAAGCAACATCTTTACTTTTACTGACAAAATAAACAAAAACACTTTCACCTCCTGCATCTTTTAGACTCACCTGTTCCTCTTGGCGCCGTGTTTAAGCTCATTATCTTCATCTTCATCATTCCTATGGAGACCAGTTGATTGACAGCTAGAGCTGATTTCTGTCACGAAGATGTAAAATCCACAGTTACAGAGTGAAGTGAGACAGCTGAGACACAGGTGAAGCATAGAGAGGTCAGACCTGAAGGCGAGCTCTTCTTTCTCTTGTGGGGCGGGTCCTCGATGATGCGGCTGATGTCTCGATCGATCAGCTCTCCTGGTCTCTCCCACACAGAGAGATGGATTGTGGGATTGAAGAAGAACACTCTATCATCTCCAGTCCAGACCACACACCTGAAGACACACATGCACACAAATCACCAAACGAGGGTCATACTATGAGCCTCACTGCCCTCTAGATAAGAGCCAATCTTCAGAAGTGAATCCTCTACCCTGAGCACCATCTTCAGTCTCCTCCTTCCCAACAACAACACACCTGCTGCTAATTACATGCGCTACCTTACATACGTTCACATAGACGCACCATATGGTAAAACCAAAAGGTGACCCCTAGCGGCACACATAAGGAAAATGGCTCCTACACAAGTGTACATGAGACATGGGAAAGCTAACTTAAAGGACGATGAATATAGGAGTTACTGAATAAAGAGGATGGGATTAATTTACACTTCTTCCTCCTTTTCAAGCATGAAATTTGAGCTGCTTTTATATAATAAGTAGATCAAGCATATATATGCAGCACGGTGGTTAGCACTCACAGCAAGAAGGTCCTGAGAGAGCTGAGAACATGGCCAGAGGGGGCTACACCTGTTCTCCAACACTGCTTTGAATGCACAGACTGGGATATGTTTAGAGAAGCTGCTACATACTCAGACACCGTGGACCTGGACGAGTTCACAACTCAGTGTGTAACCAGCTACATCAGCAGATAAACTGAGGATGTCACTGTCTCCAAGACCGTCATCACCTATGCAAACCATAAACATGGTTCTCTGCAAAGCTGCACAACCTGATGAAAATCCGAGACTCTGCCTTTAAGTCCAAACATAGAGAAGCTCACACTACAGCCAGAGCAGACCTATCACCAGCCATCACAGAGGCAAAGCGGCAGAATGCAGATCAGTCAAAACACACATTTCACAAGTACAAAGGACAGTCGGCGCATGTGGCAGGACATCCAAACAATCATGGCTACAAGCCAACGCCTCCAGCATGCAGCAGTGATCCCTCTCTGCCAGACCAACTAAGGCTACGTCCACACTGAGACAGCGTTTTCCTCAAGAAAAACGCAGGGTTTTGAAAACGCTGTCGAAAACGCACACATTTAAAAACGCAGCTGCGCCATCACAGTGTGGACACACAAGAATGCAGACTTTCTAAAACGATGGCATATTTTAGTCATGTGATGCAGTCATGTGACCAAATAAACAAAGATAGAGGAGTGCATTATACAGCAG